TAAAGCAATAAAATTGTGCTACTTTTAATACTTTTTAATTCTTTGTTTCTTAGAAAATTGTTTGTTTGTTCCAATTATTTATACCAGGGATTGGCAAAGTTTTTGTGGCTTGGGCCAGTTAACGGTCCCGCAGACGCATGCGCAAACGCTATTTCCGGTGCTCCTTCTGGCATGGAGGAGGCATGCGCAGCTTCCCATTGGCTGCAAGAGCTTCCTGCAGCCAATGGGAAGCCGGCCAGTGTCGTGGAAGGCGGTCCCTGCTCTGCTCCGCACCAGTTTAATGTGGTGCACGGGAGCCGACCGAGCGGGCGGTGGGGGCCGCTTGTGGCCCATGGACCTTAGGTTGCGACCCCTGATTTATACTTTGCCTTTCAGATAGAAATCCTGTCAAGGTGGCTTACGTGTAAGGTTCAGATATTTGGGTGGCATCCAGTGTAGTGGTACGTTAAAGCCACTTAGCAGTATACTTGTTCCAGTGTTTTGCATCAGTGGAACATTGTTGTACAAGTGAATGCATAAGCAGGTTGCTGGTAACTTGGTTGCATGACAGATTGCACAATCTTTTGCATGAGTTTCCAGCTAGCCTTTACCTTGGATTCATTGTGCAACATTAAAAACTCATCCATCTGCTAGTGCACAAGCCCTTGTGCTAGTGAAAACACACATCATCATCATCATCATCATCATCATCATCATTATTATTATTATTTTATTTTAAAAACCCATCAGGATCCTTTCCATAGGGCACTTGAGAGTAGATTGGTGTGTGTGTGTGTGTGTGAAGTCCCACTACAGCAGGCCTGGAAGTGGTCTTTGCATCAGTAAATGCTGTTCCCCATATTTCCATTGATCCCTTTTAACTTGCATCTTGAACTATTTGAACAGACTCTTTGCCTTCCCTTGCTTGTGGGGAACCTTTGGTCCTTCAGATATTGTTGTACACTGACTCCCATCAGCCTCAGCAAGCATGGCCAATAGCCAGGGATGATGGAAGTTGTAGTTCAGCAACATCTGGAGGGACAGAGGTTCCTCACACCTGCCCAAGCAAAAACAGCAGACAAAATCCAAGCTGCTGGGCAGGACCCATTTGCTGACTTCTAAGTTTTGCAGAAACGATTTACATGTCTGGATGCCCAAATAACGAGCTTTGTGCCAATCAGCTTAATTTAGATACACCACAGTATTTTGTTTAAGACTCAAATTAGTCAAGCAGACAAATCATGCCTTTCCTCAGAAATAATCTCTTCCTTGCCCTCCCCTTCAGCCAGCCTGAGGAAAATTTCTGTGCCATGTAAAAGCTCTCACACTGTCTTAACTTATGTTGGGTAATGCAAATACTTACTTACTTACTTACTTACCTACCTACCTATCTTGATCCTCATAAAAAAATCCATATGGTGATGGCTTCAGAAATTTAACAAGGCTTCTTATTCTTCTTCAGAAGTCATAAGCCTCCAAGTAAAAGGCCACATCTGCACCTTATGTTCAAAGCTCTATAATTTAACAACCATGACTTCCCCCAAAGAAGTGGCCCCCAACGGCTGCTCAAGCTGCGATGGAGGGGAAGGCCCAGGCAGGACTGGAGAGACTGTGGAGCCACCACTGAGGCAGCTGCAGCGGCTGCCACCTGCGTCCCCTCTGGTGCAGCTTGAGCAGCCGTTGGGGGCTGCTGATGCTGCTGGGGAAGGGCCAGGCAGGACCAGAGAGGCCAGAGAGTGGTGAGCCTCCCTGACTGGGCCCGATCCCAGGCACGACCTTGCTGGTCACAGCAAACTGCGCGGCCAGAGCTTCTGCTTGGCTGCAGCCTCCACATTAAAGGTAGTTCTGTCTGGGAAAATATGGCAACCCTATATGAATGTGAACTTTCATGTTTACTGAAAAAAAAAGGTGTATATATATATATATATAATGTGTAAATTGAGAAATTGGAGACAGCATCTTTGCTCAAATTCTTTTAAATCGAAACATTTTCTGAGGACAAATGACTACATTTATTTATTTATTTATTTATTTATTTAAAACCCTGGTTCTGTTTTTCTGGGACTTGGTGACTCTCCCTCCTTATCCCTCCAATAAAACTTCAAATTATTCATGGCTATAAGGAAATGTCACCCCTAGTCAGACATTCCCCCTATATCCCTGTCCCCCCTGGGAACTCGGGGGCAGAAAATACCTTGTCCCTCGTCCCTCTCAAATCCTTCTTAATGAACACATTAAAATGAGACTGTTTATTTATATCTTTTTCAAAATCTCCAAAGACATTCCTATATATAAGTCCTGCTTCGGATCCCGTCCCTGTAATGGGTCATTAATGTATTTTAAGTGAGAGAGAAAACTTGGCATTGGCAGCAGAAGATTGCTTTAATAGCAAAGTGACCCAGAGTGCCTTTTGATTGCTTTTAAATTCCCAATGAATAATAGATATTGGGCCTTATAATGCAATGCTAACAGGCCACCCTCTGCAGGAGCCAGAATGCTTGGTTAACGGAGCCAATTGGAAAACTCAATAGAGGAAGTTTAAAGGGGATGATGATAATAAAAAGTCCTTTAGAAAAGTGGGAGGAAAGCCGTCTATTGATGAAGACGGTATTTAAAACAGATACCTGGTTATTACTTCATTCCAGAGGGCTTGCAGGAGGTAGAACTCAATAGGACACACCATTGTCTTCAAGGGTAGCCCCATGTAAAGCACATTACAGTAATCCAGATGGGAGGTCATAACAGCATGAACTACCGGGACCAGGCTATCCTAGCCTAGTAATGGTCAAAGCTGGCAAACCCACTTAAAAGCCCTCTTAGCCACAAGGGCCATCAGGATACCAGTGACTTCTTATTCCTTCAGGGAGACTGTAACCTCTCTGAGAGTTTCCATCTAATTCCAAGCTGCTGGGGCTGATGGGAATTGTAGTCCAAAACATCTGGAAGAAGGCACCAGGTTGGTAAAGACTGTTGTAGGCCAGAATTTTTTTTTAAAAAACCACACAAAAAAACCCCAATGTAATCATAACTATAAAAAAGATGATGTGATCTGAAAAATTCAAAATATTGGGTTGTAGCCAATGGTGACAGGGTGATGGACCCCAGTTTCACCAATCACCTGTGAGTTATATTGCATGCTGTTCTGCAGATCCCCTTGGACCTCAGCAGCAGCTGTTTAGGAGATGCAAAGGTCTGTAGTCGGAGGGGGAATTGGCAAGAAAGCAGAGTGTCCTTACCAGGCAGGAGCAGGAACACTTTCTACAATGTCATTGTTTATTTATTCCTTATTTATATGATTTTTTTTTATTCTATCATTCCTCCAAGGCAGTTCACAACAATCAGTTCGACCACTAAAATGAGAAAAACAAGTATTAAAAACTTTTAAAATGAATAGCAGCAGGTTTTAAAACATGCATCAGAAAGCACCCAGTAAAGCAATTAATTCAGCTGCCAGAATCAGGTAGTTTCTTCCCTCTCCCTTAAAAAACCCCAAAACTTTTATTTATAAATTTTATGGGTTTTATGGAGTAGATATTTTGAGTGGGGTTTATTGGTTTGTGTTTTGTTTTGCTCTTGTTTTTATTGGAATGAGAACTAAAGTAGTATGAATGAACTGACTGAGAACTCTTCAAACAGATAAAGGATTGTGTTCTGATAACCTTAGGGAGGCTTGAAGAATTACATTTCAGTGAATTTTGATGAAGACTGACCTGATCTGCACCACCTGGACCGATGTGCAAATTGGAATGAAGTTATCCTTCAGATTTCACACTGCTCATTTGCAATATTTTTCTTGGCTCAAAAAATTGTGCAAACATGCATTAAAAATGCATTAAATGCATGTTTTCGGGGAAAGTATCTTTACAAATGCATTGAGGTCAAATATATTTTTTTGTGATAAAATCCATATTTAAATAAGTATTTTAAAGAATATTTAAACATGAATTTTTGTGCTGATTTCCCCCCCTCCCCAAAATATAATAGATCAATGCATAGACAGAACAGACTTCTGTCTGAACATGCACCAAATACAGACCTGAAAAAGGCTGATCCATCTAACTCTATTTCAGGCAGAGAACCATCCTCTGTAAAGTGGGGTACATGGCCACCCTAGACTTTGCATGCATTGATCATTGTCCTCCTTTGCTTCCCTGCGGTGTTGGCCACAAGTGGGCAATTGTTCTCTATCTGGGGCCCCTGACAGGCAAACCTGCTGCAATTGCAACCAATGAGGTGAACCACCATGGGTACCAGGGGGCAGACACCCGACACCCTGCCACTTGGTGGATCAATAGGCATTAAGACTCCTGGGTCCAGGAGCAAAGAGGCATTAGTGGCTTCCCTGTCTGAACCACACTAGCCAGGGAGGGATTGGTGCATCCAGACCACTGAGCCCATCGTGGGAAGTGTGGTCATGGAGGCTTCTCAATGTTGTGTCCTTTGGCTGGGCAGAACAGAGATTGTGGCTAGGATGCAATTTGGGATAGACTAATATTCCTTCTTTCAGGTTTAGGTGTTTCTTTCCATTCTTAATTTCAGCTCTTCACATTTTTGCGGCAATCTGAAAACTTCCCCCCCTTATCCTCATGAAAATCCATCAGCATTTGTGTATGAATTTCTCCTGATATACAAATTTTTGTATAAAGTTTTAAGTAATATACAGTTTTGTATATTACTTAAATGTATATTACTCGGCCTCGTCATGTCCACAGAATGGAAGATGCCGGGATCCCCAAGGATATGCTCTATGGAGAGCTAGCTTCAGGCACCGAACCCATTGGCAGACCAACTCTACGCTACGAAGATGTCTGCAGGCGTAACGTGAAGGCTGGCAACATCAACCTCACCATGTGGGAATCCCTTGCAGATGACCACAGTACCTGGAGACAGTCAGGTCATGTGCCCATCGCAGTGGCGAGAGGAGGAATGGCTGCTGGGAGGAGCGAAGAGAAGAGAAAACACCATGGTGCATCTGCTGCAGCACAACCAGACACCTTTGAATGACTCTTCGCATCAGAAAAATATTCCTGATGTTGATTCGGAATCTACTTTCTTGTAACTTGAATCCATTGGTATGGGTCCTACCCTCCAGAGCAGGAGTAAACAAGCTTGTTCCATTTTCCATGTGACAGCCCTTGAGTATTTGAAGATGGCTATCATATCTCCTCTCAAGTCTTCTCTCATCCAGGCTCAACATACCCAGCTCCCTCAACCGGTCCTCATAAGGCTTAGTTTCCAGACCCTTTATAATTCTGATCGTCCTCTACACACATTCCAGTTTTTCAAGATCCTTCTTTTACCTATTACCATCAAAATTATCTCTTGGAACACCAAGTGGTCACCAGTGTCTGTTAAGCAACTTTACTCATTAAGATCTATATATTCCAGGGTACGCCTGCTTGGTCTCCAATCTAGGTGATAAACATTGAAGGGCAATCTCAACATTTAGCTTAGGGGTAGAGCTTCAGCTTGAGAGTCAGTGTGGTGTAGTGGTTAAGAGCAGTGGACTCGTAATCTGGTGAACCGGGTTCGCGTCCCCGCTCCTCCACATGCAGCTGCTGGGTGGCCTTGGGCCAGTCACACTTCTCTGAAGTCTCTCAGCCTCACTCACCTCACAGAGTGTTTGTTGTGGGGGAAGAAGGGAAAGGAGATTGTTAGCCGCTTTGAGACTTCTTAGGGTAGTGATAAAGCGGGACATCAAATCCAAACTCTTCTTCTTCTGCTTTGCATGCAGTCTCAAACCCTGGCATCTTAACTCCAGGTAGAGGTGGGAAAGACCTTTGTCCAAAACTGCCAGTTGGTGTAGATAGAACTGAACGAGATGGAGCAGTGTTGTAACTTTGTGTATAAGGCAGCCTCACGTGTTTCATGCCTGTCAGAATATTCTCACACCAGCACCTTTTCTTCTTCTTCTTTTGTAATTCTTCCCTGCTTGCCATGTAGGTTTGCAATCAACAGGGCAGGTGGCAAATGCCATTCTGCATAGTCAGGAAACACTAGGTGCTACTGCTTCATTCCTCTCAGAAGCACAGAGCTTAAGAGGCTTGGAAATGCATGGCAGAAATCACGTCTTCCAACAGGGATGTGTTTGAGCTCCATCTGTTGTGCATTAAAACATTTCTAAGAATGGCCACAGATCTCCGCAGCTTAAAATGTCTTAAACATGCGCATGTGCCCAAAGCGTCAGCCGAGAGAATTCGGCTTAGCGCCATGGACAGCAGCAGAGCGAGGCTGACTCCAACCAGCTGTAGATTTGGCCTGAAGAGACAATTTTTGAAACAATGCTTGCCACGTGTTTGGCTAGAAAAGTAGCAAAGTGATTCATTTGCTGATGCATTTTGAGAAGGGCTTCCAGTTTCGATGGGACATATAGAGGTTATTGTTCTATCAGTATCTGAAGGCGCATGAAAGTTAGCTAAGCAGGTTTAGATGAAGGATGGAGGACAAATGGATTTGTGCATGGTTTTTTAAGGCTCTGATCTGATTGAGCTTTGCTTGCACTGAACTGCTTCTTGCATCAAGCACTCTCTCATGTCTGAGCCACTCATGCATTGTCAGGTGTGCTTTTTTTATAACCCCAGTTGTTGTTGTTGTTTAGTCGTTTAGTCGTGTCCGACTCTTCATGACCCCATGGACCAGAGCACGCCAGGCACTTCTGTCTTCCACTGCCTCCCGCAGTTTAGTCAAACTCATGCTGGTAGCTTCGAGAACACTGTCCAACCATCTCGTCCTCTGTCATCCCCTTCTCCTTGTGCCCGCCATCTTTCCCAACATCAGGGTCTTTTCCAGGGAGTCTTCTCTTCTCACGAGGTGGCCAAAGTATTGGAGTCTCAGCTTCAGGATCTGTCCTTCCTGTGAGCACTCAGGGCTGATTTGCTTAAGAATGGAGAGGTTTGATCTTCTTGCAGTCCATGGGACTCTCAAGAGTCTCCTCCAAAACCATAATTCAAAAGCATCAATTCTTCGGCGATCAGCCTTCTTTATGGTCCAGCTCTCACTTCCATACATCACGACTGGGAAAACCATAGCTTTAACTATACGGATCTTTGTTGGCAAGGTGATGTCTCTGCTTTTTAAGATGCTGTCTAGGTTTGTCATTGCTTTTCTCCCAAGAATATCCCCAGTTAATTATATGCAAAATTAGATGGAAAAGTGTGTATAATACATATAAAGGAATCAAACCCCTTGCTTTATTTTTGCAGCATAATTTTATATTCATTGCACACTATTTTTATACAGTTCTGTGTGCTGATGTATGCGCATGTTTATGGGTCGATTGCTTTAGTGTATATCTGTATACTATGTGTGTAGTATTATGCCTATAATAATGCATGCAATAGGTGCATGTTGTAAACTGTTTAGAGATTTTTCATTATACGATATTTCCACTAGATTGTCATAATGCTGTGACCTGGGTCGACTTGTCTGACAGCAGTGACAGTCAATAGGTACAAAGTTGAGATCAAGGAGGTGTGCACCCAATAGGCATTGCTGCTGTGTGAGGATAATGGGATAACAATGTAGTAAGTAAATAAAAGTATAATATGCTCTTCCCTGTGGCTGCAGGCAGGCAGCATAATTTTCACATTAGCCTTCCTGTCTGTGCCTTCCCTTTTGACTGTCTTTAACAATATTCAGAAATCTGCCTTTGAGGCAGCCTCTTTGGCTTAACTTTCCAGCGTAAGAGCAATTTTCAAAGCTGCTCAAAATTTCAATTGTTTTCAATTTTGGGGCTGATAATGGAGATTGGAGGGTGAGAATTGACCGATCCCCCCCCCCCCGGAAAATGCTTTGTGAGACTGCACACTGATTCTCTTGAGTGGCATTTCCTCGAGCTGCTGGTTCAGCCATATAGTGTGTGTGTGTGTGTGTGTGTGTGTGTGTGTGTGTATCTCGGTTACTGCTCCATTCTTTCTCCTTCCTAGATTAGCCACATGGTGATCCTATGCCACCAGGAAGCACATCATAAACAGGATGGCATCCCTGCTGTACTACACACCCCATCAGATTAAACTACACAGTTGTACCATGATAATCAGATGAAATCAGTTCAGAGAAGGGAGCAAGGAAGAGCAAGCAAACAGTGATGAAAAATTACAGGAAAAGGCAGGTATTTTTTTGATGTGGCAGAAGGAATTTGGGTCATTTCAGATCAGAGCTTGTAGTCTCTATCTAGTAGTCATATCTTGATTGTTGAACGCCTTGGTACTTGTACGTTTCGGCTCCCGAAAGATCGAAATCCGGAAGTGAGTGTTCGGGTTTTCTAACTTTTTTTGGAAGCCGAATGTCTGATGTGGCTTCCGCTATTGTTTCCGGTGCACCTGTGCAGTCAGAAGCCAATCGGAAGCCACGCCTTGGTTTCCGAATGTTTTGGAAGTTGAACAGACTTCCGGAATGCATTCTCTTTGAAAACCAAGGTATGACTGTATAGTGTTAATAAAGGCTAAGGTTGCCATACATCCAGGAAATCCCAGATATGTCCTCTTTGGGAGGGCCAGCATGCCCATCTGAAGGAATTTTTACATTTTAAAGGAAATGTCCAGTTTTGTGGTTTTTAAAATATTTATTTATTTATTTATTTATTTATTTATTTATTTAGGGTTTTTTTAGTTAGGTGCTGACAGCTTGGGCTCAGGCAGCTTGGGCTCAGGCTTGGGCATGGGCCACTGCCAGCCTGAGCCAGGGAAAGAGTTGTACTGGCACTGGCGCTCTGCACACCATGGCCGCTGCCAGCCCAAGCTAGGGAAAGAAGGGTGCAGTGGCCCTGCGTGCCCAGGCATCTCTTTCCCCAGCTCGGGCTGGCAGCAGCTCAGGCTGTCCTCTTTCTTGCTCTTCAAGATATGGCAACCCTATAAATGCAAGAGAGTAGTTAGGGTAAATAACTACAGATGTGAGTAGTACATTAACTACAGAGAAAGGAAGGAGCAGATGGTAAAAGGTTCTAAGATATTTTGATCAACCAATCAAATATACCATATTCTTTTCTTGTTAATCCAAATAAACGGGGGGCATGCAGAAGCCAGTTGTGTGATCACTGCTAGACTGAGGCAGCTATTCTGCCGGTGCCCCTCCCTCACTCCTAGAGCTTGTTGATGAAGCTAATTCAGCTTGTACTAATGTAGGAAATCATTAAAGATCAATAACAAAATCATTAGCAGTGTGACGCTCTTTCTGGACTGTCTGATCGACAGATATGCCACTTAATCCGGCCATAAAATCGGCACCATGAGCTCATTTTAATGGGTGTCAGCAAGATTGATTGGCAGAGGTCTAAGGGTTAGAGCAGCAATGCGCAAGCCAGACCACTAATGCACTTGCAAACTCTTTGGAGCACTTTGAGGCAAGTTAAACAGAAAGTGCCCTGCAAACCGCACGGAGCCCCATTTTGCTCAAGCCACTTAAAAAAGACTCTAAAGCTAATGCAAGGCTCTGCAGCAGAGCAGGACATTACAATGATGGAGGCGTCTTACTTGGTTAAATTAAAATCAACGAGCAAAGATGCATATGCTCTGAATATCTCTTAGTATCTATCCAGGTGTTCCAGAAGCTGCTGGGAACATCTTATGAAGAAGACACTGACCTCTGGGCTTAGAAAATGTAGGTTTTCAGTGACCATTTGTTTTTCGATGTCTGCCAGGCTCAGCCTCAGACACGTTGGTGCCTGAGACATAGCATTTCAGTGGCACACGCCCATATATTTATGGGACATAATCAGGGATGGGGGTGAAATTTGTTCAGATGGCATCTTAATGCAAACATACCTAATTGGCCCTTCCCAAACCAATACATGAATTGAAATGCCAGACTGCTCCTTTGAAATTTGCAAGTCTCAGAATTTTTGCAATGCATTCCTCCAACCCTGTCTATATATATATATGTATGTTAGGGGAAAGTGTGCACATAAATACATAAATGCCTATGTTACTAAAAATAAGAAACAAAAATGTATTATACTGGGGAAGATTGCTAAAATATGATATAAAAAGCACATGAAGTTTCAAACTGATTCAGAAACGGGGGGACCTGGATTTAAGATTGGAAAAATAAGAATCAGAGCAAAGCCAAAACTAACAAATTCCTCCACCCCTAAGGACAACCCACTGGGAAGTTCTCCTGCACGAGGCCTGTTGAAGTGAACTGGGGCTGTAAAAGAGCACTTTTGCACAGTTCCTGTTCATTCAAAGGAGCTTCGTGATGGATTGTGGGTCAGATCTG